GAGATCGGACGGTCATTCGCGTCTGTCAGTACCCAATCAATGTAGTCCAGGTTCGATTGTTCGATCACATCGATCGATAGGTTGTCCCAGGTGATCATGTTGTTCAGTCCCATCGATACATGAATCAAATTATCGATCAGCGGACTCTTCAGACCGAATGTTTGAGCATTGATACTACTGTACACTCGGATCACACTCATGCCATTCGTGATGTCGTAGGGTTCAGTCGCTACCATACCTGCCTCAACGATACCGTCCAACTTGAGGATACTCGTGTAATCAGGTGCGCCACTAAGGTCAACAGCGGTCGCCACATCACTGTTCAGGTATGCTCGGTTGACATCGTCTACCTGGATGGAATCGGCTATCGCACGGCACAACTCGGTAATCGAGTAGTAGCCAGGACCGACGTTGTAGACCATTTCAAACCCTGACAGCATTTAAACCTTCACGACATTCATTGCACGAATGTTCCAGAGAGAAGTGGTATCGATCTTGCATGTAATCGAAGTGATCTTGTACACAAGGTCACGAGGCATGATCACTGTGTTGAACGTTTCATGGTATCGTTCGTTGTTCTTCGGAATTACTGTATTGTGGTTAATCACACTCACCGGTAGTGCACGATTATGACTCATTTATTGTGTAGAACATGGAAGTGAATGCACACTGTGATCGGCATTGGCAGGGCAATCGTTGCACCGGTCTTATCGGTCAATGAGAATGACCATTTGCGACTTTTGGGTACCACGACGTTCATGTGTGCATTCTCCGTGTACTGTTGGTTCAATACAACCAACGGAGACTGTCGTCGTTCTTGCATGTTGTTCACTCGATCAAGGACAAGGCAGGTGCCAGGCGATTCTCCCTTCATCGATATCCGATCGATTACCATGTCGCTTTTGATGAGATTGTTACTCGTGAATTCATGTTCGTACGTTCGAGCAATGTTGAACACTAGATTCATTTATTATTTCCTCCTGAAACGGTGAATCCGATTAGCAGGTACACGTTACCGATGAACGATAGCGGGTCACCATTTTCATCCTTAAGTTCGTACACGATGCGATCAAGCAATTCAGAACATGGTACCAACATGCGATTCTTGTAGAAGTAATTCTTGTACAAGCTGTCCATCGGGACATTCGCAAGCAGAGGTATCGTCTTGCTTTTCACGATGTTGCAATACAGCTGTATGTTCGATAGACCGTTCGTGATATCGACAGGATACTCGGCAACCATTGGACCATAGTTGGCATAGTACACACCATCGTCGAAAGGGATACGCCATGTATGCGATTGCGATCCTGAAGCGGGAACGATGGTTCCCAGGTTGCCACTCAACGAGAACACGTGGTCTGCGTGAATGTAGTACCCATCTGACTCAGCTTTCCATCGTATGTTCAGTGCAGCCGAGTCAAAACACTGGTTCATGTGCCATATCATGTCAGCCTGTGTCAGTCGTGATGGTATGGTCCACGTGAATGTCTGAACGTCATCCATGTACGTGATATCAGTCTCGGGGGAAGCAGTGCTTCCCTCTTCGTCCAGTGTCATCATTCCGTACGGGAAGCGAATCGTCGTGTTAGCCGTGTACGACTCAGATTGTTCCCAGTCAACGAAGGTAGCCAATGATGGAACAACAACTTCATCATTCCTCACATACGTAACACGTGTCGGTTGTATGAATTCGATCGACACAGCACGATCGGAATACGTACTACCTTTGATCATATTCGTCACATTCAGACCATCGATGTTCGCCATCGCAAACTCGTAAGGTGATGTCAACTCGGGCATCCTGATGTAGTAATTGCGATAAAACTCGAAATAACAAGACAGATACACACCACCTGGTTCAGCGTATGGTCCGGGTATAATCTTGAAACATGGATTATCACAAAACAATATGAATCGTGGTTCTGTACCATTTCGACATCCCATTCGTACTCGACCACCATTATCTGCAATGACATATACCAAGTACCCTCCGAGAGATGCATCTACATATATCTTATTGATCACATTAGCGATCATATTCACGATATCAATAGCGCTATAATGACCTCGTTGGATTGTGAGAGGTCTTTCGCCATATCCACGTATTCCAAGTATAAAATTCGTCGTATCGATAAACACTCTCGTGTGATATACACTATCCTTGGAATACCAAGGTCCGATCGAAGAACCATTCGATGACACCAAGTCACCTGTATTTTCCGATGTGATATGCAATTCCAATTCTGGTGCATAGTCCTTCGCAGTCCATGACATGCTTTCTCTATTGTCATTCACCGTCCACGCAATCGCATTCTGGTGAGATGGAGGTAGTTCCATAGCACTCGCATATCGAGCATTGAGCTCATTAAAACATGTGGTTGTAAGAGTATTCATCTTGATCGGGGTAGACGTATCGTCCGTTATGTAGAATTCACCACTATCGAGTACTGAACCATCAGCTAAACGCATCGTGTATGTCGCGAGAGGCTTTAGCAGGAACCGAATATCAGTCGTACGCATTTTCCAGTCATACGCAATGAAGGTGTTTGATCCTATGTACGCATGACCACCAATACCTTGATCATTCGTCATATCAGGTGGTGAATCGCTTTCAGGGTTGAACGAAGTTTCCACTGGTCGTTCGATGCACAGGTTCTGCACAGATGGAGACAGCTTGAACCATGGAGTCCAACCAAAACCATCGATCGTCGTGTCAACACTGGATCGATCGAAATACCATCCGTCTGCTTGGACATTGAAGCGAACATGATCATCCTCGATCGTCATGGATGTGAGTGGAAGCACTTTCACCATTTCAGCACCGACAGCCTCGATGAACTCGCTGAACGTGTAGTAACCGACAGGCATTGTCAACATGTGCGATTCCCTGCTGTCAGTAACAACCACGTGATTACACGAGGAAGACAGGTAGTAGCACTTCGGGTTATCCACTCCTTTCACCAAGATATCCGATTCGAATCCGAGGATCGACCTGATCTCTGGTGCATTCGTGAAATCAATTATGTAGAAGTGATCTACCGTGATGTGGAACGCATTCTCACCGCTATACACCAATTCGAACAGGGCATCACTCGCATTCAGCTTTGCAATGATCGTTTCGATGTCGTATGCACCGCGTGGTATCGTGATCTCTTGAATCGTAGCGCCAGCATTGATTAGCACCACTTGGTCAGTCGGCACGTTGTGCAACACGAAGTCCGTATACAACGACACAGACGAGATGTAGCACTGGTCGAATGAGAGAGGATTGTCCAGCTTCACTTCCTTCTTGGTGGTATTACCGAACACTTCGATCATGGAGAACTGGTTTGCAGAGGCAATCGATGAAGGCACTTCCTCCATCACGTCTTCTATCGTCAATTGGAGTTCGAATTCGCCGTTCAGTCGCATCATCTTGCCATCCATATCGCGGAAGACGAACATCAATTGATCAAACCGAGTGATCATTGGAATATACACGTCTTCCACAGTTCGCACATAGTCAGCCGTTGGATCGTCAATGATCATCGTGGTGAGCAGGTTATTGTTCTGGTTGGCAATCTTCAGATCCGATGATCGCACGATCGTCGAGTAGACCTGGATCACTTGTCGATTTCGAGTGATATCAATCACGTTCGATCCACTGAACGAAGCAGGTAGAATGACCGTTCGTCCATCTAAGCCGAGGATCTCACGAATGTCAGGTGCATCCGTGAAGTCAATGGTGTATGGAGACTGAATCCAGATACAACCGAACGACGAGGCGTTAGTAGATATCGAGAATGTGGTATCGGTCATGGTATTGAGCAAGGCAATGATCTCACTGATCGTGTAATAACCAGCAGGGATCGTTACCTTCTCATTATTCGAATTCGTGACAATGTTCGTCGTGTCCACGTTGTTGAACATAGCCTGGGCATCCTTGGGTCGAAACAGGACAGTCATGGAAGTGATGTAAGGATTCTTGTACTTGTACGGGTTCATCCAGGTGAATGAGCCGTTGGTAGGTGAGCCTTGTATAAGCATGGAGTAGTGCATGGTCTTTCTCTCTTTACCATAATATAAAGGGCAGACAATTACCACATTGGCAGAAAAAGGGCCGCTAAAATTTTCGCGCTTTATGCGCCATGGTACTCGAGGTGGGCAAGTAGGCTAAGGTTATTTTTTCGACCCTTATTTCTTATGAAAGCCAAAAATTACAGGTTGACCAAAGTGAGTCATGATGAGCTATGGAAGTTGGGGTCTGAGGGGCGACTTTGGACGATGAGAAAGCAGTTGACGGGGTCTGAAGGGCAACTTTGGCCGAAAAAGGGCCGAAAAAATTTTCGCGCTTTATGCGCCGTGGTACTCGAGGTGGGCAAGCAGACAATGGTCAAAAAGGCAGCCAGGAATAAAATGGCAGTCAGGAATAAAAATGGCAGAAAAAGGTCCGAAAAATTTTTCGCGCTTTATGCGCCGTGGTACTCAAGGTGACCAGGTAGAAAAAAAGGAGGCCAGGTAGAAAAAAAAGGAGGTCAGGAAAAAATGGCAGAAAAAGGTCCGAAAAAATTTTCGCGCTTTATGCGCCATTTCCCTACTACTACATTATTTTCTTTCCTTGTAATGTGATTGCATATAGCTATTTGTGTATTACTTTTATGTATGTTTTAAAAATATCATACTACAATGGTTATCACCCTATATGGTTTCACACACTGATAGCTATTTTCTGTGACCATTAGTTGTGTAGAGTTTTTCATAGCTGATTGAATTAACTATCGAAATAGAATAACACGAAAGGTATTCTGACCTTGCATTGTCACACCTATTCACTACCACTCAAGCCTATTTTTAATTAATGATCATCATGTATGACTTTTGTGTAAATACAAACATTATTATTGCTTCGTTTGTTTTCATTGTTTATGCAACCTTCTGATCAGGGTTTGAAGTGTTGTGTATAAATTAATGAAAAGCATCACAGTTAGGCTTCTTCAAACCCATCAAATCCCGTTTCTTTTATGACCGATATATCTATCAAGAATACAGCAACTGAAGGTAATGGGCTCTCTGGTGTAATTATTTCTTCAAATTCGGAATATACATCTACTTCCATACCCGGTGTTGCTTCGCAGCCAGTGGAGTGTCAAACTATAAGCAATGAGGATGTTATTGATTTGGTCTCATTGGATGATGATGATCTTGAACAGATTGATGATTTTTATATACAAACACTAAATTCTGCTGTAACACGAACAGTCGAGACAAAACATTATGCACATACGAATTCTGACGGTCAGCAACGCTTTTCTAACACATCGTCTGTTTCGCAACCCGTTTTGCATGATGAAGAATTGGATAATGAGGAGAACGAGGATAGCGAGGATGTAATTGAAATTATAGACCTTGCTGTTGATTCAGAGAGTACGAAGAGTGTGAAGAGTGTGGATGATCAGAGTAGCGATGAATCAGAGAATATGTATCTTTGTTTTTGCTTTTTTTATTTTCAGTAATAGCTACTGTTGTCCGATCTGTTTAGAGAAGCCGAGGAGTCCGATTAGCACAATGTGTGGTCATATCTTTTGCGAGATGTGCATTCGGAGATTGTTTTGGGTATGAATCAAAGCGAGTGATGTGATCAGTAGAATGATTATCATGCTTGGAAATGTCCGGTGTGTCAGAGTCGTTTGCTGCCGCGAGAAATTCATAAAATCTATTTTTACTCTGTTTGTTGGAAAGGGATGAAGAAAAGGGATGGTGCTTAGCAGAAGGTGGAAACGACAAAAATGTCTATCGAACCTTCCCCGGAAATTAGATACACATCTCTTCGCGCAAACAAGTATTTAAGCAAAATCAAGAAATGGGCGATGAAGGTAAAAGATGGAGCGATTCAAGGAATGAGAGCGGTAAGAAATATGTGACACTCAGAATGTAGTTTATTCATGCAGATACCTATGAGAAATACAACTTGACCATGTGTTTCTCTCTTTGCACTATTCTACTTGTATATTATTTCATGCACTCGTATGTTCCTTCGGTTTTACTGATTGTAAGATACCATTCCGGCTTCCTGATCGTTTTTGAGTTCTTGATCTGTATTGCGTTGTTGCTTGACATCTTTTCCAACATTGTCATCAATAGCATAGTACTAATTCCTTGTGAACTAAAAAGAGGACTATGTTCTTACTCGCATCTATTACTACGATATGCTTTTGGTAATCATTGATATTGTTACCATAGCATTGATTTTGATAACAAAGGGATATGGAACACACATGTCAATGGTATTATAATTTTATGAATGAGCAACAATCCGCATATAGACATGGCTGCGTATTCAGCTGTTTCTCCAGATGATCAAGTATATCCCAGCAACAATCCGCTACTTTATCAATGTTTATCGCAACGTATATCTCTATTTGCTTATTAATTCGTGACTTCTCAGAAGCAATCACCGCCTTCTCCCTCTCCTTCCACGTTTTCCCAGTTCCCCGTCGTTCTCCCCTCTCTTCCATCCCTTGTTTCTTCCAACAAACAACCTTAAAAAACACTCAAATCAAGTTTGAAAAATCAAAAAGCGAAACTCAAGTCATACTTCCTCCTTCTCTCCGGATCGCTCAGCGTCTCATACGCCAATTTCACCGCCACAAACCGTTCCTATTCCTCACCCTCTCTCCTCTCCCCCACCTCTGCGTCCTCCTCCCTGCTCTTATCCGGATGCAATCGCAGCGCCAGTCGCTTGTACGCCTGTCGAATGTCCCTCTCGGAGGCCGCTCGATCCACGCCCAGCACCGCGTACAGGTCTCGCTTCATCGCCTGCATCCACGCCTACCCAGTGCCGCGCTGCGCGTGCGGAACGACCGCTGCCGCTCGAAGTAGCAGTAGAAGGGATTGCGGTACGCCGACGCCGACGCCGACGAGGACGAAGAAGAAGAAGGGGATTGCCCGAGACGCGACCGAGGAAGCCAGGAGCGGGAGTGTGCGTCGGGATGTGTGTCGGGATGGGCGTTGGCACGCATGTTGTGGGACATGTCGGAACGCGAGTTTTGGTGCAGGTTCGAGTGCAGGTCTGCGTGTATGTCGGAATGTGTGTCGGGATGTGTGTCGGGATGCATGTCGGGATGCATGTCGGGATGTGTGTCGGAACGCTTGAATGAACGCGGACGGGGAATCGAAAACGGAGAACGCGATTCCCGCGGGGCTGATTCCCGCGGTTTCGAGGGCGTTTCAGAACCCTCTCGAAAATCGGGGGGATTTTTGGAATTGCCAGAATCGGCGGGTTTTTTGGGGGTTTGGGGCGACGAGGATTCCCGCGGGGCGAAGCCGAACGAAAAATCGGGGAGTTTTTGGCGAGGGGCGTTTCTACGTTTCACCTCCATTCCAAAAATACCCCCGATTTTTCCACTGCGAAAAAAGCTTCAGAACCGCGGCATCGTTGGGTTTCGCGGATAAAACCAGGCGGAAATCGGCCAATCCCTACGCGTTACCCCGTTTCCCCGTTTCCACTCTTTCCACCATTCCCATCTCGCAGTACACTTCCCCGCGGAACTGCAGTGCCTCCAAATCGCCGCTTCGAACCTCCAGAATTCGATCGCACTCCACTACGGTTCCACGTTTCCCCAGTTTCTACCAATCGATTCGTTCCACTTTCGCAGCTGTCGCAGCGCCTGGGCGCGAATCCGCGCGTTTTCCGCGATTACCGCGTCAAAAAGCACGCGATTCAAATTGACACAAAACCTCCCGAATTTCGTCGTCTCAATGCGATGAAACTCCCCTTCGGGGGTCGTCCCGCGGATAAACGCCCGGATCCAGTCCCCCGCGGCTCCCGCTTCCCGCTCGCACTGGGCGAATTCCCCGCGGGAGAGCGCAGCCTTGGCGGCCTGCAGATGTTTCTACGCCTGAAAAATCCCCGCGATTCGCACGTGCAGCTCGCCGATGCCCCAGAAGGGCGCCAGTCCCGCGGCCTTTCGCTGTGCCTCGCGGAACCGCGGTTCGAGCGTGCATTTCTGGAGAAGACGGTGTGCGAATTCGATTCGACTTTGTAAAACAAACAATTCAATCCAGCGCTCCACGAGCTCGGCGTCCACCGCGCTCGCATCATTGCCAAAAATATCCAGTTTTTCCGCGTCCCACGCCGCCACCTCGAACGGGTAGATCGTGGAATCGTGGAAACAGGGAAGCACCTGCGGAGACACGCGACTCAGCAGCAGCTCCGCGCTTGCCGTGTCGTGGAGCAGGAGATAATCGCGGGAAAGCGCCAGGTACATTTCCCGCCAACAGCTGCATTTTGATTGGACGGCTAAATAACCGCGGATGGAGCGACGCACATCATCGGGCGTCTGGAGGGTGTCCGGAATGCTGCGGAGACTCGCCTCGACCTCCTGGATCTGGTTCAGCATCGAAAGACACTCGATGAACCGCGGATCATCATGCCCTCCGGAAGTGCGGCTATCGCTGTGAGAGGCCAATTCCAGGCCTTTGGAGTACATGATGCGCGCGTTTTCGAGGTCGCCCATGAGGAAATAGCACTTTCCCGCTCGGCAGAATCCCCGCGGGAATTGCGGGTTTAATTGAATGACACGAAGGGAATCTTGCAGAGCACGGGCAGTTTTGTTTAGCGAGAGGAAGCAGGCTGCTCGGTTACCTTTGGGGGAGTGTGAAAATCACAAAAATACTGAAAGAAACGTAGTCGGAAGGGACATAGCTGATCGCCATCGAATAGAGCTCGATCGCTTCTGTATATTTTTTGTTTTCAAAACACGCGTTGCCCTGTGCCTTAAAATCCGCCGCTTTGTCCAAGATCTCGCTCTGGAGATCTCGCGGCGGAGCCTTCACAGGAGTCGTCGGAAACGAGTGAGAACGCGACGAGATAGGTGTTGCTGAAGATATATAGATTGTACTGTCACTTTCTGGAGAATGTGGGTCTTCCTGCATCGAATCGCTCAGATCACTAAAACTCAAGTGATCGAAATCGTTGGAAGAAGAAACAACTCGAAATGAATCAGATACTAAAGGTCTGGGCGTCTTTCGACGCGAAGACTGCAAAAAATCTGGAAGATCGTTTTCCAAAATTTGACCCTTTCTCGGAGTAAAATACAATGAATCGAACTGTTGCAGCGATTCGTTCGAGAAATGAAACACATCTTCACTTTCTTCGGTTTTATGGTTTTTATAGTTTATTCGGCTATTATGAATCAAAACGCACGATGCTACCGATAGTCATCCTGGGCACGAATCTCATTCACCACATCACTCTCATTACGATACGCAATGCCACTACTACTGTACAGAGAATTGGGTCGTTGCGTTGGAATTGTTCTAGGCCGACTGGGCTGCGTTCGCGCCGTAGAGGGAGGGTACAGCATGCTGCGTTCCATCCCAGAGGTCGTGTATATACGACTTCGAACGGAAGCACCTTCCCTTCGGCGGGAACTATACATCGAACCCGAGTTCAGTCTAGTTGATGAAACTGGAGGAGAACGATATGGAGAATACTATATCACAAGTAAAATTTAAAATATACATAATTGGACGAAATGGAGTCGGAGGACAATTTCCATCCGGTTGACATTGTATTCACTTTTCTTTATCAATAGGGTTTCCAATTATAGTAATAATCCAAGCACTATTTTGTGATTATGATGTTTGAAGTTTTGGCAGGGTTGTATACTGCATGTTGGGAATGTGCTTTTGGTCGAATGGTTGTGTAAAAAGTGGACTTGGTTATGGAGTGATCGAAATCTTGTGTGTTTTATTTCTGTTATGTGGATGGGTCGAAGGGACATAGAATATTATTGGTAAGGTGCTATGGACATTGTATTAGCTTGCTTTTGCAAAAGGAAAAAACGCGAGGGTTGAATATTGATGTATTTTGTGATACGGATGGTTGCTGTGAATTGGACAAGAATATAGGATTGATCGGTTGCACTTTGGGGATGAGAATGAAGATTTTGCTAAGGTTACAATAATGGAGTGATATATGTTATATTTAATCATTGTTTGTATGTTTTTTAAATGTTATTGGAGGGTGGATACGAGAATAGAGTCATGTGTGTGGAAAGTTGATTCTCACGGTGATAACAGTGAGAAGTTGTGGAGAGAAGGATGGAGACGCAAGTATGGAAAATATGGGGTAGACTGCTGTTAGTTATAATCGGGAAGGAGAAGAGAGAATTGACTGAGGTGAATCGCAAAAAGAGAAGAGCTTTTATGACAGAGTTTAGGGAAATAGTTGCAGTATGATTGCTTCCAATCGAAGTCTCCTACGTGTTAATACATGCGTGATTATGAATCGAAAACTGGATTACTAAGCACAGTGAACAACAAGATATTACTCATTAGTATACTTTTGATTATCGTGGTGATATGATGTAATTATGTGGGAATAACTACAGGATATTGAGATCGCTCATTATGAGAATATGGCATATTCTTTGATTTTTAGATTAACATTTCCTGATGTGTCCTTATCCATTTATCTAATATAATGGATATTATTAAAATTAGTGGCATGATACTTATTGATTTCTTTTAAGAGCTGAGAAAGAAAATGCAGTTGATATTATATATGAATTACATTAAAATGGAATTTCCGTGAATAACATCCTATTTATATTTCTATCAACATCTAGCACATTATATAAATATATTTTTACTATAATCAATAAAGCAGGTATGAAACGGTCTAACTTTTCGAAATTTCCTATATTACTATTTTTATATGACTATTTTAAGAAAAACATTAAGGATAATGCATATAAGTGATTATGAATTAGGACCAATAGTGGATTGCATTGTTGATTGATAGCATGTTCCGTATTATCTGTTGAAGATGTCCTTGAGTACAGATGGATGCATGGTGAAACGCCTCGCTGAAAATTAGTAATGCATTGTATGAATACGCTATTCTTTGCTCCTTTGAAAGACTCATACGTAATACGTAAAGTATAGCTTATTCACAGCGAATCAGTACAAATAATGAAAGCATCACAGACTTAAGCTATCAGCATTGGATTACAAGCCAAATACTCTTTTCGACAACAGTTGCATCTATGCCTAACTACTCTAATATCCATGCTTCTAGAAACAAAAAAGTGACTTTCCATTACTATCAAATGATGCATATTAAACTTTGCATTAATGGTGTATTTTCTCTTACTGCTTTTTCTGCTCCAATCATCATCATTTTGTTCTCTATAATTCCTGCATCACCTTTTATATTTCTCAAACAAAATCGTCTAATTTTCAAATTAGCTCTTCATAATAAGTCTGCTGTATTCTAAAACACACGGGGAAATTTGTCACCGATCGATATTGCTCATTCAATCTCATTTGTAGGTCATTGTAGACCTCCTTCATATCGTTAGTAACATGCATCTTCCCTAAATACTTTCTGCGAAACCCAGAACTACGATTATTGATCACAAGTATGATTTACTCAGGATGTGGAAAGTCCATTGCGAAAGCATGATTCAATATGTAAAACTGAAAACCAGCTTGACGAAGATGCTCAAAATACTGCACTTTGTTATATCCATAGTTCACAAATCTTTCCTCAAATAGAGGAAGTGTGGGAGAGTATTTCACCATCAAATATCTATAGAGAATCACAGAAACAACTCATAGTTACGGCTCCATGAAATTGGTGATAAAACAGCGAACTCGAGATGCATGCGATTCTTGTGACGTTGTAAACCATTCTGGCATTACATACATCTATGCTAGAGAGCTTTTTCAATATCAACATGAGTTCGAATGTTGTTCTTATTAGATATGCAAATCTTTCGATTGATACACTCGATCAGTTCCAGTTTGTTTTCTGGTTGAATCCAATTCGATCCATTCACAAACGATTGAACATTGCATACAAGTAAGAGCAACTTTCGGTTGAAGAACAGTGAGCCAATATTTGTTTGCCTTTATAGAAAAACACGGGGAGAATAACAGCAGAGCGATTGCTTTGATAAAGGAATTGTGGAAGACTCAAAACTTCCTTATAAGTATTTACTATTGATAATGAGAAAAGAAGATGACAAATACAAGATAATCGAAGATCCATATCAAGAATCAAGAAATGAGTGGTTCGAATGTTTCGTATAGCAAGATTTCGTAAGCGATTAATAGGAAACACAGTACTGGATTTGAGATAACGACTGACTAGATAAAATAGAATTGTAACACGTTTGGGAATGAAGTGAGTTGAAATGTAACGCACAAGGTGGACTTCCTGGGTCGATGTGGCATAAATCACAAGAACAATCGGTCTACAATGAACATGGAAATCGATCATATTTACCCTTGATAACGATACATGAATTGACGTAGTGCAAACAAACGATTGTATCCAAAAGCGGTAGCAATGGCAGTTACATCGAATTTCTGATCGTTGGAAGGAAACCATGCTATATTTCAGAGAGAAATCCATCAATCAATACGCGTATCTGTATATTCGACTTCCTCATTCCCCACAAATTTACGGATGAGCAAGCCGTTCTTATAATTCTGAACAGTTCTCACATGCTTCAATCCTCTCGGCAAATCACATCCATCGCAATAGATTGCACTGTCAGAAAAATGACTTGCATTATAAAACTGGTCTCGCAGTTTGAGTCTCATTTCCATGGAAATCGTTTGAAAGTAATAATATTCATTCAGCAGATCGGGAGTGACCGTCTTATTACTGATGTCATCGCGCACATCCTGAATCCACTCCTTCTCTTTGAACTGCAGGAACCGAGAAATGACGTCGTACTTCGCGATTTCTGTCTGAAAACAGTCTTTTTCTTTCATCTGTAATGAGAGATTAAACACGAGTTCGCCTTCCGTCTTATGAACTTCACGGAAATGCATCACGGTATAGTAGGGTGAAACATGATCGGCTGGAAAGATGCCATCTAATTCTTGAGTTTGCTGACGCATTTTTTGATAGTCGGTCGAGAGGGCTTCCTCTTTCTCTCCTTCGAGCAATGCTGCATCGATTCTGCGGTTTCGTTGATCGCATTCATCGTCCGAAGAGAAAGAATAAACGGAGTGGCCTTCCTTTAAGAGCTTGAGAGAAGTACCGTTCATAGCAAGAGAACAATTGATCTTGTCCGAGGAAAAATGGAGAGGCAGTTTGTACAGATCGATTGGAGGGCTACTTCCATTCTCATTCATGGAAATAGGGGCAGGAGGCTCTGGAAGTGGAGTGGTCGGTTGTTCTGTCCGACTCAAAATGGAACCAGATTTAATATCTGATTTGGTAGAGAAATAGTTTTTTAGTGCTGCAATAAAAAACGCTCCAGGGGATTTCTCAGGAACAGCTGAGTGCGATTGTGTGCTCTGAGACTGAAACAGGACCCTCGGAACGGATTGAGAGGAAGGTTGAGGCACGGAGTTCGAGTGGGACGAGGGCAAAGCAGAAGCAACACCAGGTGGAGTTGGGTTTTGTTTTGAGGTTGATGAAACTATGGAATAGGGGTGTGGAAGACTCCATTGAGTTGAAGTGCCTGGAAGATTGGAGGATTGTTTCGTTTCCAAATATCTTCCTGAAAAAGGGTTTATATGTGCACTGGAAGCAGCATATAAGGGTCGTTCATAACTAGAATATTTCAAACTATTATCGAGAGTAGAAACAGGATCAAGTTTGAAATTTCCTGTTGATACTTGTCCCTGTACCTTTGTTGTCGTATACCCCCCAAGAGCAAAACGTATATTGTCCTGCTCTTCGTTGGTATACGATAGTCCTCTATAGAAAAGCGCAATGTTTTCTAGTGTTTGAACAACAACAATAAGAAGTTGTACTTATTTTGTCTATAAAACATAAAGGACAAAACGACGATCCATTAGTAGTTACCCACAATTGACTGGAGCTACTTGTTAGGCGAAGAAAGACTGACTTACAAGAAAACTTTCCAATTGACGGTTATTAGTATAATAAACACAAGCAGAATCGCTATTTCCAGTTTGGAGTGATATACCATACACCTCTCAAAAACGACACAAAGCCTAAAATACTATTTGTTTTACTGGTACTTTAAATTTGAGGTTTGTGATTATCTGGAAATATTTGAATAATGTATTGTAAATAATAGACAGATTATAAATATAAGAATAATAGCTCGCGTCTTGATCATTTTGGTGGTGGTATTTATTCTACCATTCCGAACAGACTTAGTGTTTTCGCAAACATATTATAATTTTATCGCTAGTTGCATAATGGAAATTTCGTAGTTGGAAGGGTTAATAGCGACATGGACAAAATTCGGGACTATTTTGGGAGTCCTCATTTTTGAAAAACACCTGTGCTTCAAATAATATGAATAAGTGTATCTACTTGACTATCTAGAATATTCATATGATTGTTGGCCAGGAAGTGACCGTGCTTGAAATAGTGGAACGCCTGTCCAGCAATGTAAATAGCGACGTTAGTAGAACGATATACGAACGGTTAGGAAGACAGTCATGAAGTGATTGGTACGATTAGCACAGGAGTGCCACAAAAACCTACAAATAAAATAGTAAAATTATATTCCAGTAGAGAAACTGCAGTGATAACAAGGATAGTGCGATCACAAATAATCTGTTGAAAAGTGTTTATAATGTGTATTGTTATCGTTCATGTATGTTGAATTTTTTTATAATTTCCTTACTCTAACCAATTTTGATTCATTGGAACCCAATTTGGTGCAGAAACAGTATCTATTTGCTTCGATTTTGCATTATTTGAAAATAAGTGTGCTATGATTTAGTGTCTATGATTTTCTCTTTATCAATCAAACCTACAAGATCATATGGGTTGGATGGAAAGGAAGATATTGGTTTTCGAATCATTTATAATCTCCTTTGATTTGTAGCTTAGAACTATCGATTACAAACTGTGGATCACATCTATTCCTGCGCTGACTAGAGAGTATCATCTATTGCATATGAAATCAATCATTTATAGGATTGTTAGTACTGGAAACTCGCGTTATTTAAGTCGCTCCATATTCCAGTGAAGCTTTAAATCAGGGATTATCAGGTTCAATCATACGTTCATAGAAACGATGCATATGCTTCAAAATTCTATTTCAAGAAACACAATACCTTTCACAGAATAGTTTGAATTCGAAAATACAATGAATCATATCGCTGAACTGCGAATGTTTGACTTCTTTCATTAACCCATTTCCTTATTTATTCTCCATACGAATCCCTCGAGGTTCTCTATTTTCTTTCCTCATATTTTTTGAAGATTTCTCTTGTTTCCTGAGATTCAAAGGAACCTGCTCAATAGAGTTGTTTGCTCTATTAGCCCACTAAAGCTTATCATAGCTCTTCAAGACAAATATATTCATTCGATAATGAATAGTGGCGAATCGATAACAAAGAATAGTGTTCACATCCAACTAATCATTCCATCATCTATTCCCTTCCCGTTTCCCCAAATCAGCATAATAAATCTCCTTTTACAACGATAAAACACACATGTCCAAAATTACACAATTCTCTGCCTTTTCAAGAATAACCTATTCAAAGATTTTCATACAAATACAACTCTGTGATATCCATCACACTTTCCTCAATTAGCTCAATACATACCAGAATCGCGGTTATTCGCCCTAATCTAGCCAGGTTTGATTTTTGCCCGTTTACATTATCTGATTCACTCCAATGGCTGACGTTAGTGCAATTCGTAACTTGGCTAATGAAGGTATCAACCTCACAAAGGATGTGATGGACAAAGTGATCAAGAGTGTTCGAGGAAATGATAAACGTTTTTTCAATTCTTCAAAGAAAGGAGAGGTTGGCGAATGGAGAAAGAAATTACACAGTCTGGATGTGACGGAAGTCACGAACGCTATGAAATGCGTTATTGCTGCTATGACAATTGGGACGGATGTTTCAATGCTGTTCCCTGATGTGATTAGTTGTATCCATGATAAAACCCTCGAGCTGAAGAAACTAGTTTATCTGTAAGCGGTTTGTTATTGTTAGGATGTAGGTACTTAATCAACTATGCTCGTGCCAAGCCAGAACTCATCATTCTGGCAGTGAATACCTTTGTTCGTGATTGTGAAGACCCGAACCCTCTGATCCGTGCGCTGGCTCTGCGTACAATGGCATGTATCCGTGTCAAGAAGATCGTGGAATACCTCATGATGCCCTTGGGCAAGTGCATCGACGATGTGGATCCCTACGTGCGTAAAACGGCTGCTATCTGCGTTTCTAAATTCTACGACATGGATCCGCAGCGCTGCGAGGACGAAGGCTTCATCGAGCGTCTTCGCCGCATGATCGGCGATTCCTCTCCAATGGTGGTAGCCAACGCCGTAGCTTCGCTCTGCGACATCGGAGACACGATCGGCTACGACGTTCTCCGTCTGAAGCCGAAGCTGGTGAACAAACTCTTGGCGGCTCTGAACGAATGTTCGGAATGGGGCCAGATCGTTTTGCTGGACGCTTTGGCCGCGTACATCCCCGAGGACGAGAACGAGGCGATGCTGATCGTGGAGAAGACGATTCCCCGTCTGCAGCACGTGAATTCTGCCGTGATGTTGGGGTAGGAAGCGGCGGATCGGCTTGGCTGACGCGTAGAGCGGTGAAAGTGATCCTGCTGAACGTGGAGGACTGCGACGAAGAGCTCTCCAAGACGGCGCTGAACAAGATGGCGCGCGCGTTGGTGACGTTGGTGTCGGTGGATTCCGCGGAGCTGCGCTACGTGGCGCTGCGAAATCTGCGTCTGGTGATCCAGAAAGTGCCGAACCTGCTGTCGAAGAACATCCAGGCGTTCTTCTGCAAATACAACGACCCCTTCTACGTCAAAATGGAGAAGCTCGAGCTGCTCATCAGCCTCGCCACGCCCAAATTCATGGAGAAAATCCTCAACGAGCTCAAAGAGTACCATGCTGATTCGAAGCGTCGCTAATCTCTAGCTACGCCACGGAAGCGGACATCGATTTCGTGCGCGCGGCGGTGCGTGCGATCGGTCGCTGCGCGCTGAAAGTGGAGTCGATGGTGGACAAGTGCATCTCGGTGCTGCTGACGCTGCTGCAAAGCAAGGTGTCGTACGTGGTGCAGGAAGCGGTGATCGTGGTGCGCGACATCTTCCGCATGTACCCGGGCAAGTACACGTCGGTGATCGTGCCGCTCTGCGCGGTGCTGGACCTCCTCGACGAGCCCGAGGCCAAGGCCTCCATGATGTGGGTCGTCGGCGAGTACGCTGACATCATCGACAACGCCGCCGAGCTCCTCGACGCCTTCCTCGACTCCTTCCACGACGAGACGCCCGAGGTCCAGGTCGAGCTGCTCACCGCGGTTGTCAAGCTGTTTTTGAAGCAGCCCGCGCAGGGGCAGGAGCTGGTCACCGCGGTTCTGACGATGTCGACGGAGGAGAGCACGAACGCGGACGTGCGGGACCGCGGGTACATGTACTGGCGATTGCTGTCGTCGGACGCGAAGATCGCGCGGAGCGTGGTTTTGAGAGAAAAGCCGAAGATTGACCCGAAGCTGGAGGAGATGATCGATGACGAGACCCTGCAGAAGCTGCTGGAGGAGCTGGGAATGGTGTCTTCGGTGTATCATAAGCCGGCGGAGGAGTTCATCACGCCGAAGGTCGGACCCGCGCCGATTGATGAGATCGGGGATGATGGGAATGTGGATCTGGATGAGGAGAGCGAGGAGGAGTATGAGGACGAGGACGGGGACGAGGATATTTTTGAGGAGGAAGAAGAGGAGGAACAGCCGAAGGAGGAGGAGAATGAAGTTAATTTCTTGTTCTGGAGTGTTTGTTGGAAAAAGGATGGGTGAAGAGGAGTTGGGAGGGGTGGAGTGTGGAAAATATTAGGAGATGGGAGGTGCATTTTATTGGGAGGGTTTCAAAGGGTATGGAATGGTTAACGGCAAAATACAGTAGTGTGTGGGTTTATTGGGATATGCACTATTCGGTAAAATTGAAAATTCACAGAATGAGAAAGGGAAGTAAACTGGCAAACAAAAATTCATTATCGTTTTTAAACTCACAACGTTGCAATCATGGGGCTTTTTTAGATTGAACAGATTTTTTATGTATTATGGTACAACGCACATCACAAATATACCATTTGGATAACGTACTCCTCATTTCCTTTTTCCTTCCATTCCCTTCTTGTTATTCCAATATTTTTCAAATATCCATGACTCCTGACCATCTACACACACCTCACTCTTCTAATCCATTCACCTCACCTTCTCTCCACTTTCACCATTCCTCCCTTCGCTCCCAACTCTCCATTTTCAAACAAACAAGCCAACACATCAACCAATTCACACTACACAACTCCATTACATATTCGTCCCCAATTGGTATCCCTTTCCTTGCCATTTTCTTCTAAACGCGTAATCTTCCTCCTTTCTATGCAGCTTCGATTCTGGAATCGACAGCAATTTCCGTCTATCCATCATGCACAGCATCCCTCGCTTACAAGAAATGCGGCGTTGTAAACAGCTTCGAATTCATCGTCTTTTCGCATACCTGGCTGAAATAGTAGAAAATATGGCCTGTGCCGATGCCGATCAAAAGCTCGGTGATCGGCGAACCCACCAGCAGCGAGAATACAATCAGGACGAATGGAATATAAACGCCTTTGAAGGAAAAGCCCCAGAAGGAACGCGGCGTGTTCGGGTTTTGCTTGCTCCAAACATAAATAATGTAGTAAAGCAAAGGAATGCTGAGGAAATAGCGAGGAAGGATGATGCCAACCACCTAGAATCAAAACAAGGTGCATAAAAGTACAATATTCAAGACAACACCCCACAAAAGAGCAAAGATGAAGTCCGCAGTATCACCTGCTGCTCCTAATACTGATGGAAGGCAAATTTGAGTTACCTCGTGTGCAACTTAACGGATTTGTCTCAAAACTAGGGTAGAAACTCATTCTATGGGAAATGCACAAGGATTGCTCTGTACATGATCATCATATTCATAAGGAAGCTCATCGAAGGGCCTCCAATATAAAAGAAGCTCGAGATCAGTCTCCACAGCTATTCTTCAGAAACCCGATGCAAGACTACCTCAAATCGTTTGAATATTAACGCAGGGCTGAACACGAGGATAAAGGGGTCGACGAATCCCATCGAGCTTCCAAATCCCATCAGCAGCAGAATGACGATATACGTCCTTGAAAAGGGAGGGATTGAGTAAAACCAGTTCTTCAGACTGTTTTGCGCTTCCATAGTAAATAAGGTGTGTCTTGTCAAAGAAGTGGGAGGTGGCTAACTTTTTGTCTTTGAAGAATTCATTATGCCTAAAGAATAGTATTCTGTTTTTAATGAATGGACTTATATTTGGAATTACAAAAATGCTAAAGCAAAAGTAATCATTTGATTATCATAATGAAAGATTTTAATTAATTCATTAAAACGGATCTTCTTCATTAAAAAACTAACTAATTATGAACGATTACGACTGCTATTGGAATCTGGACTCTTACTCCTCTGATCCAAGTGACATGATTTCTTTAACTGACGATGATCTTTTTTTCCCTTTTATCTCCGATGATCCCAGCCATTTCTGCTTTATTCCTTTTTGCCAGGAGGATGAATCCCTACCGCCTCTCCACCTGCCTTCGAGGCTGGACGGTCGTTGGATGTGTGAAACGGAGTCAATGACCTCTGTACCACACGATCATTCTGCTAGTTGTTCTGATAGCCCTTCTACTATAACCTTAGAGGCGTCCTATCCGAGTGATACCGAGAATGTCTCTTCTTCTGTTAGTTGTGTTCCTCGTCAAGAGGAAAAGCGTTGCGCTAAAAGAAATTCTTCAGTCCGCAGGTTGTTGCAGCCTAAGAAGTCGATTTTGCCCCAAGAGAAGAAAAAAACGAGGAAGCCCAACGTGCCAAGGCATATTCGAGATCACATTGGCTACTTGGCAATGGAGCTCCGGGCTCAAAACCATGGCATTTCTATGAAGTCGATAGCGAAGAAGGTGGATCGGCGACTGAAAATCGATTTTCCGTAGGATTTGGGTGGTTCTTGTTGATTGTAGCGAGTGGCATGGAAAAATCAATGTCCTCCAGCTCATTTATAATAAGAAGCAAAATAAATGGGACAAGTTTCTGCCAAAGAAGTGACTTGTTTGTTATAACACCTTAACAGGATGGTGGATTTGAAAGTCACTGAAGGAGAAACAATGAATGATTGTGAAGGATACTATGCAGATATTTGAATTGGTGGGTGTATATAAGGGAGATAGAAGAATCATGTGAACGACAATTCGAAGAGATAGCCATGGGTAAAACAGATTTGACAGTTTAAAAATCGATTCTTAATCGAGCCACACAATGAATTGTTTGTTTCCCTAAGCATTCAGTTTTATTGTTGCCCACATACTCAATTCTACTCCACTACAAACACATTCAATTCTATTCCCACTCACACACACACACGAGACACACCACACATCCAAAGCGAACTCCTCTTTCAAACAAACACACATTCTCACATAAACTTCATCTGCCTAGATAGCTGATTCCACTTGGCCGTCAGCTTCGTGAACATCTGCAAAATCACCTTGCTATTGATCGACAAGTGCTGATCGCTCAGCTGATACGTCGTGACCTTCTTCGTAGCGAACTGGTTCTGACTTCGCTCCATATTCTTCTTCAGCAACCGCTGCATCGTCACAAACCCCACACTCTTCTCATCCACATCATTATCTAGTCGTCTCTTCCTCCCTTTCCATCCCTACTCTCCACATTAATCTCCATCAAATGCGTGCAGAATCCTTCCTCCAGCAACACGCACAGCTGCAAAAGCCCCAATTCCGTTATGTGGTTATCTGCATTCTCAGCTCTCATTCTCATTCCAACTCTTCAAATTCAGCGAAATCAAATGGTTGTAGCCGCCCTTCCGAACCACCCGACAAAACGTCGCAATGTCCAAATCGTCCAGATTGTTGCCCTCCAAACTCAGCGACTTCAACTTCCGGAACTTCAACTTATGCGTGGAACAGTATTTCAGAAGCGTGCGAAGCGATTTCCCCTTGACTTCGTTGTCTACACGATCAAAACGCCGCCATTCTCCCACAGCTGTAATCCAGATCCGTCAAATTGTTGTGGATCGAATGCTTCATAAACCGGTCGAACAAAAGCACGCCGTACAATCCGCGGTGCTCCCCTGTGACAAAAAAACCCGCTATTTTTCGTACATTTGATCGTGTTCTCCTTCCAATTGAACAAATGAACAAAGTACGGAATCTGATTCAGCTCCAAATAATCGCGGTTATCTCGGTGCTTAAACAACTCTACCTCACATCCCCGCGGGAATCACCCACCAAACGCCTTGGGCGACAACCCATCCCCGAAATACACGCAAATAACCGGGATAAACGGCAAAATGGTTTCCGAAGTGGACCGATAAATGCTCTTGTAGCCCTCCGTCGTCTGCGAAACGATCGGTTTATTGCTGACCACTGTACTCGTGCCTATGCGAGAATTAAAAAAAAACCGCGGGAATTGCGAACCTGACTTGCTGCGCGAGATCTCGATGGGCTTTTTCTCGGTGGCGGACTCGACGACGGCCATGTCTGCTTTCGAATTGAAAGGATTGGCGGCCTGGCTGCTGGAATTCTCGGAGGGAGCGTTCAGCACGGGCGTGATGGCGATGTAGGCGGACGAGGCGGGAGGAGGCAGGGGCGCAGGGTCGAGAACGAAGTCGAGGGCTATGGGGAAAAGGGGAAACGGGGAAGTACCTCCGGGGAAGTTTAGAATAAGCTCGAATTGGTGATGACGAACATGACAGTTGGAGATGAGCTGCCATTTGCCGTTTTTGTTTTGAAGTACGCCGTAGCAGTGGTCCATGGTGTAGTAGCCAACGGTTATCAGACCATTCACGATGAGGATGAGAACAAAATAGAAACCCAGCTTTTTCCAGAAACCACTACAGTCCCAGCAATGCAAAAAACGTACGGAGAACCCCAACGAGGCAGGAAGGAAAAGATGTTTCCCAGGGGACCGCGCGGAGCTTCACTTGCTTTCGCTCCTGCTTCGGTCGCAAATCCTCGAATTTGAGTAAAGAACGGGTTTGAGGACATTTGTCTACTACACACGCGAATCCTATTTGGATTCGCTAGAACGGTTTTAGAAAGCGATGGATTTGGATCCATCGCTCCACTGGCCATTCCTCGTCGAAACCTACCAAGTGCGCGCTGAATCTTTGTAGAATAGGTTCTCGCCTGTCGCACCGGCTATGTTTCACACAAGAATTAAAAACAAACAAGAAGCAGCTGATTGGTTGTACATTGTCCGTAAACAGTGCCTATGGATCTGAGTCCTTTCTGGAACACATGAAAGGACACTGACATGACAAAATCTGTGTATAAAAAACAACAAGAACCAGAGTATAGTATTACTTCCTGCATTTCACTCAAACTCTACTACTCACTTTCCTTTCTTCTTGGCAGGGACCTCACCCTTAGCTTCGGCCTCTTCTCGAGCCTTCTTCGCAGCGATTTTGGCGGCGAGACGAGCTGCATCGCTTCAATTCAGAACCCCTTCGTAAACTCACTTTTCGTTACGGGCAATCGGGTTTCCCTCCTTTCTCTCGCCGGTTCCCTTCTTAGAATGGCGGGCTTCAGCACGCATACGATCTACTTCTCGCTGGTTACCACCTAGAATAAAGGGAAAGAGTAGAGAGAATACGAGTCATCCTTTACACCTTCAATAGATGCCAAAACAGTAATTTTGCTTATTCCATCAATTTCCAAAAATCGGGGGTAATTCGAATTCTACTGACTTTCTAGATCAACGGATAACAGGATTATTCGTCTCTACAATTCGTATGCAAACCAGGGGGTAGAAATAAGGTATTCCATGCTAATCCTTTGGAATTGTGGTTAGGGTGTGAAGTATTAGGTAAGATGTGCATTTCCTTTTTTGGGTGGATTGCATTGAGTTCAGGTTGAATGCATTTTACAAAAGGAAATGAAAAGAAGGGTAGTGTATGAATGGAAATGGTTTTTGGTTTGATAACCGTTATTAAATGGCTATATTGGTTGACAGATGGACTCTTTTTTGATTAGCAGTAGGTAACAAGTGTAGTGAGGAGAGCTTAATGTTTTGAAAATCCTCTGGGGAGTGATGCCACAATTCGATTTATTTTTCCACTTATCACTTCAAATAGAACTGAAGGGTTAATCGAAGCAATCAAACTGCCTTATCCCCAATACTCAAAACCCTCTCAAACACTCATTTCAGTAAACAAACAACACAGCTAAACCAATTATAAATCGCTTCAACCCGCTCAACAGTCCTTGGCTTTCCCATCAACTCCATCATTTCGCCCAGACCCTACACATCGCAGCCACGCTCCAATTCCCTACAAACCCACTCTTGTTCCCAGTCAATCCCAATCGCAGCACACTCATCAACTTCTTTCGATGCTCATTATACTTCTCCGTAGCCGTTTTCTATCATTCATTCATTCATTCATCACTTGGCTACCAAAACGTTTTCAATTTCCTGGTGAGCGAAGGAATCGTCCAACGCCTTCACTCCCTCCAACACGCTCAAGAAAAACTTCGCTACATTCCATCCAATAACCGCGATTACGCGCCTCCTCGACGGACCGAATCTCCTGAAACGCGGGGAACGACGCGAAGTCGGGGACAGGCGAATAAAGCTGGGTGAGAAAGTTGTTAACATCCTTTAACACTTGAATTCGCGGCTATAAGGTGAAACGTGGAAACCGAGTTCGCACCCCCGCGAATTCGAAGAACTTTTTCCACGGGAATTCGTTTGGAAGGATGGAGGAATCGATGAAAGGGAGAGTGAATTGAATGAGTTGATCGGGGTTTGTGTGTAAAGTGTGTTGGATGTGAAGCTGATTGAAGTGGCGAAGGAGTTTCGGATTGACGCACGTGGGCGCAGCGCTGAGTTTGGCGAGCGAAAACTACGAGAAAAAGCGAGAGAGCGGAAGCGATACATCGCGAATCATCTCATTCAAGTCGTAAAACACCCCGTTCGCCTGCTGGGTTTCGTCGTTTCCACGTTTCAACCCCAGATAATAGATGTAATTCAGCAGCGCGCTCGGCAAAACTCCCTCCTTCAGCATCGCCTGTGCATCAAATCCGCCTTGGCGTTTCGAAATCTTGGATTTCTGCTCGGAGAGCAAGAGCGGGAGATGAATGAAGTCGGGCGGGTTCCAGCCGAACGCCGAGTAAAGCTGCAAGTGTTTCGGGACGGAGCTGATCCACTCTTCCCCGCGGATAACCAGCGAAATCTGCATGAAATGATCGTCCACGACGGAGGCCAAGTGATAGGTCGGGTAGCCGTCGCTTTTGAGGAGGACGGCGTCTTCGAGGTGGTCGCCGGGAATGGAGAGATCCCCGCGGAGAAGGTCGTGGAAGGAGAAGCGAGTGGGGGACATGCGAAGACGAATGACGTGGGGATCGTTGTGATGGAGGCGTTGGCTGATTTCGGAGGCGGAGAGATGGAGGCATGGACAAGAAGAAGAAGAAGAAGAAGAATGCGGAGAATTGGTTTTGCGAGAATGCGGAGAACAGAAACAGTAATAGGCTGAACCATTCTAGAGGGATCATCATTAGCATGTACTAGTAGTACAGATACAAGGGATTCGGCATACTTTTTGTAAATATCGAGTCGAGAAGACTGAACATACGGTCCAAATGGACCACCTTGCTCCGGACCTAAATGACATGCAAAATTCTATATCTACCCTCGTCAGGAGTCAAGCCAAAATCACAAAGAGTTCGAATTATGTTGTCGGCAGAACCCTTCACCAATCGAGAGCGATCCGTATCTTCAATGCGAAGAATAAACTTTCCATTTTCCTTTTTGGCAATTAGATAATTAATCAGTGCCATTCTCAACCCACCCAAGTGCATGAAGCCCGTAGGTGAGGGAGCGAATCGTACGCGGGTTGTTGAAGCGAATCTCACAAAAGAAAATGGAAACGGCATGGAAGCAGTGATTGTTAAACAAACAATAACTATTCTTATAATTCAACCTCTTCCTGTTTTTCAGAATTTATTTGGCTTGAATGCTCCTCTTTCAATAGTTTTAAAAAATCCTTCATTCGTCCAATCAGATGGTCGGCACCACGGTAGAAATAGCGATATTGAAAATTAAGCGGATTTGAGACGAACTGGAAATCAATGGTATTGTTTGGGTACACAAAGAAAACACGAGGGAAATAGTTGCCATCTATAGGTTAATAACGAAGCGAGCATGTACCAAAAGTAAAAAGTTCACTATTCGGCTCGTTTCCATCACAACTGACCATCACAAAATGTTTAGATAGTTTAATCACCTTCTGGTTGTCCCTGACTTCTCTCGCCAAACGAAGACAAGAGGGGCAAGACTTTCTATGGAAAACCAGCATACCTGGCTTGTGGTTCACACGAATCGCTTCAATTCCGTCAGCATAGTTTTTCCAAGCAATGTTCTCACCAAACGCTCCTCCCAAACCCTGTTGAATAGTCACGTAGAATAAAAGACACAGCTAGAAATTACATCCATTCACAACTCTCACAAAGAATAGGGCAATCATAAGAATAATAAATAAAGGAAGAATAAAAGAAGAATGAAAAAAGCCTCAAAGGAGGATCGAACTCCTGACCTTTCGCTTACTAAGCGAGTGCTCTACCGACTGAGCTATTGAGGCGCCTGTTTCCATCCTTCAACGATCTTACATAAGAAGGAGTACCATTCAAAACCCAAATACAGTAAACAAAAATGAATCTGCAAACTCTGGAATATGATAGTGTGGAAGCCTCAGCAATTCGTTGTTTTTCGACTGCTTTTCCAGTGAATGCTGAGAAGGAAGGAAAGATACAAGAGGAATACGATTGCTATGCAGATTACTGTAGGAACTGCGGAGTGTAGTATTTTCCAAATCGTAATAATATAGAGATATGCTTAATTACTTGAAGACCGTTGAGGATAAATCTTTCCAATTGAGCGATTTGATCGACAGGAATGTAGCATTCTCTTCCTATGTTCACGAACTTGATTTACTGCGTGCAAGTAAAAGTGTTACTTGTAAGGGATTAGAATATTGTACATTGTAGCTTCGGTTCAGGAGAAAGCGGGTGAAAGTGAACAGGTGAAAGAACATATTTCCGAAACTCTGTTCGTGTGATCGAATGTTTTAACAAATAGAAGCACAATTTCTTCCAGCGATGTGGCTTTAAATTCTATCCACCGAGATATCTCGCCCATCTCAACGCCGGTGGTCCGCGTCGAAGCCATCACGGACAGTGATGATGATTGGCAAACGGTCAAAGTTGTTTCAACGCCTCCGAGAGCAGTCGTCAGCAATCCCAGCACCAAAAAGAATAAAGAAGATCGCAATCCCACACCCCAATCCCACCAACCCCAACCCATTGAAACTCCCAAGAAGAAACCAATTCCCGCGGAAATGGAACCGTCCAATCCGAACGAAGATTGGGATTGGTCCGATTCCGACGAACGATTCGCTCTGCGTCCTGCCAATTCACAGCACAAAGCTCCCGCCAATTCCAAACTCCCGCCCAAACCGAAGAATGAAACGGTCGTATCCCCGGTTTCCCCGGTTTCCCCGATTTCTCCGATGGATTGGACATCGGACGAAGAAATGTTTCCCCCTCCCACACACAATGGAACACAAATACACAATGAAACACAACTCCATGACAGACCGAATGGAACCGAATCGAAATCTTCGCTTCCACCCCCACCGCTTCCCTCCAACCCCAAACCCAAACTTCAATCCAAACCTTCGCAATCCAAACCCAAACTTCAATCAAAGCCAAAGCCTTCGCTTCCCTCCAACCCAAAGCCTTCGCTTTATTCGCCGTCGCCCGTCGGCGAGGCTTCCGACCCCGACGACTTCGACTGGGACGATTTCTTTAACCAGCCCGACGGAAATTCCGAGGAGAAATCGGAGGCAAATTCCGAGGAATTCTTTGATGAAACGCCCGTAGAGGCGGTTTCGTCGGAGCTTGAAGAGGAAACGGCTGGAAAGTCCCCCGCGATTCTGAAGGACGACTGGGAGGAAGTGCAGCCAGCGAAGCGATTGGCGGAGAAGAAAACGAAGAAGGCAGCCAATCCGACGAACACGACGCCAAAGAAAAAGAAAAAAGTGGAAATCGAGGATCCGTGGAAGGACGATAGCGATGAAACGCCCGCAAAGAGGGCTTCGATGGCGAATTCGACGAAGAATTCGACGCGAAGACAGTCGATGAATGAACGAATGAATGGACGAAATCGAAATGAATCCAAATTGAATCATTCCATCATTTCACCATCACCATCATCATCACCATCATTACCCAAAATAACCGCGAAATCATCCAATCGAAAGTCTCAAATCCACAAAGACGAAGATGATTGGGCGAATGATAGCGATGAAACGCCTTTTGGTGCGCCAATGGATTCATCGAAATCCATGAATCGATTGAATCGTCAGCCCAAAGAGAACGAAGACGAAGATGATTGGGCGAATGACAGCGATGATTCTTATCTGCCTGTGGAGGCTCCGGTTTCGAATTCATTCAAACCGTCGACGCGAAGGCAGTCAATGAATGAATCGGTGAATGCGAAATTGACTGGAAGATATCATAGCGATGCTGTGAGTGCGAAACCCGCAGCAAAATCATCCAATCGAAAACCCAATGAAGATGATTGGGCGAACGATAGTGAGGGAGATGAAACGCCCGCAAAGAGGGCTTCGATGGCGAATTCGACGCGAAGACAGTCGATGAATGAACGAATGAATGAACGAAATCGAAATGAATCCAAATTGAATCATTCGCCTTCTGCTTCATCCAAGAAATCGAATCGAAAACCCAATGAAGATGATTGGGCGAATGATAGCGATGAAACGCCCATTTCAACTCCGGTGGTTTCATCGAAATCTATGAAATCTTCAAATCGAAAACCAACAAACGATGATTGGGGGGATCATGAAAGCGATGATGCTTCGCTTCCCTTGGAAGCCCCGCCTTCGAAGCTTGCCACTCGCTCTACACGACGGCAATCGATGAATCAACGAATCAATCCGAATCGAAACGTGAAGCCTTCTTCTTCTTCTTCTTCTTCTTCTTCTTCCTCTCAATCCACACACTTTGCTCGCAAACCTGAAGTTACCGAATGGTTGGAGAGCGACGAAATGCCCATCGAAACGATGCACACACCTCCGCATCGTTCGTCCAATGAACTCGATTACTTCACTTCGCCTACTCGCTCTGAGCGATCCTCCCAAGCGGTTTCTCGTCGCGATCGTGTGAATCAAAGCCTCGCGTCGATTCCTGATTTCGATTTTCTCTCTCAATCCGAATGCAATCCTTTCTTCTTTTCATTGTAAACTGATCCTTCTTTCCTTTGTTTTCTTGAACAAATAATTTCGTTCTTTTTTGTATTTTGTGTCAGAGTATAAACTAATGAATTAGCTCAATATAATGATTATGTTCCAATGAATCAGACATCTTTCATTTGAATCTCTTTCTATTAATGTATTTAAACAATTCTGATCAGCCTTTTCCTTTTCAATCTCCTCTTTCTCAATCTCTTTCTCAACCTCAATCTCATTTCCATTTCCAATCTCATTTCCATTCATGATTCAAACAAACATGTCCACTTCAGCCACAATCCAAACGTTCTCACTTCCCCTGGCTTCACGCTCACTTCCCTGCAGTTCACTTCCGCCACGCTTCTCTTCGGCTCCCACCGCGATTCCGTCGCTCCCAACTCCGAAACGCCCGTTATCTCCATTTCCTTCATTCTCTACACTCGATTCCCCGCGGTTTCCCCACTTCCACGGTTTTCCCCGGAATGATTCCGCAGATCGAAAAGCTCCGCGAGGCTTCCGCCTCCCCCGCGGTTCCCCGCGGGTCGCTAACAGGATCGAAAACATTCCGCAGCCGCAGAAGAAACATCGGATTTTGGGCAAACGGTTTCGTCAGACTCACTACCCGAATAACCGCGGGAATCCCATCAACATGAAGGAGCTTCGATTCGAATTCGGAATCGAATTCGAATTCGATCGAACGATTCGCCGGCTGCAAACTCGACAGAATCGAAGGCGATTCCACCGTGGTTTCCACGATTCTACGTTTCGACTCGGCCCCAAACGCACTCTTGGACAGAATCCTTGAGTTCCCCGCGGTTCTCTGCGACTTCGAAGTGGAACCAGAACTCCATGCGATCGACGAATTTGTCCTCGTAATTATCCACCATATAATTTCCCTGGTCCGTATCTAACGTAACTCCCATCATCCAGAAGAACGCGTGAAACCGATCAGTTACCCGCGGGAGTTCGAAGAAATTTCCTTTCTATATGATTATCATGGGATAACTGAACGCGTTTGATCTGCAAAGGATCGCCCGGTTTATTCTGCGAAGAATCGCGGTTCCAAATATTCTGGGTTTTTTCGGGGTAGTCGCAAATATCCGCGAATTTGGTGGTTCGGCGAAGCAGCAGATTGAAACTCCCGGGGATGGGAGACGGTCCGCCCGCGTGGATCCGGTCGGTTACCGTGGTTATTCGGACAAAATGGCCGTCGATGAAACCCTGCTGGATGACGAATTTGCTGATTGGCTGGGACGGTTCTGGGCGTTACGCCGAAGAATTCGATCGAACTCGTGGGGTTCGGCGGGAGTTCCTTGGCGGAAACGCCGCCCTCGTCGACGAGGATGGTGGAATCGTGGAAACCGGTTGAAACGTGTAGGAGAAACTCCTGCGCCATTTCGATTTTGTCGAGCAGAACGAATTGCTGCAAACTTCTTCGCAGAATTCGATTGGAAGCCTTGAAGACGCGCGTGACGAGCGCTGCGTTTTGCCCGAAATCCTGCCGAATTTGTGTGAATACGGGTCCGTCGAGGATTTCCACGGGGAACGGCGGCTTCGCGAGATTGACGATATTGCTCCCGATGTTCATCAGATAAGCGTTCTTCTCGTTCCGAATCATCTTCATCGTCGACACGCGGCTACGCCTCCACCTCTCTTTCATCGCTTACAACCCCGATCGCACCGTCCGCTTGTCGCTCCCCACGAAGAACCCCAACGTCGCGCCGAACTCCACCACGCTCCCGCCCACCTCCACGCCGCGAAGAATCCCCGCGGGAGACACCAACAGACCGAACTCCGCCGTTCCGAACCGCTGCTCGCGCGAAGAATCGCGGGGAACACGCCTCGCCAGCGCGTCCAGCGGGGCGTTACAGCGACGCAGCTGGTAGACACGCGAGCTCCCCGCGGGGAGCGAGGCTTCGAAGGAGAGGAAGAAGGGAGTTTCGAAATCGGGGGTTAATTGGAACGGCAGAATTCGGCCCGATTCGTCGTGGACGCAGAAGTGCGGGTCAATCACGGGAATGGAGACGATTTTCCCGCGGGGAACCGGCTGGAAGTTGGAGATTCGGAGAAGGAGCCGGTTTGAAACGCCCAGGTCGACGGATTGGTCGAAAATGGAATTGGGGACATCAAAAATTGGGTCATCCAGGGAATAGGATAATTCCGGGGAAACGGGGAAACTGTGTTCCATGACCAAGGACATGAGCGTCATGGCACGATGTAACTCCGCCAGAATTCCCTCATAAATCGGCCAATTGGTCAGGCCTCCAAAATAGTACCGATTTTTGGAAAGCGAAAGAATCTCCCGAATTTGGTCCAACGTCCGAATCGCCGCCACCGTGGAGCCTGTGGAGCCTGTGGTCCCTAATGACCCAATTGCCTTTATGTCCCCTAATGCCCCCATTGAATCCGAGGTCTTTGAGGTTCCTGATGACCCCATTGATTTTATGGTCCCTAATGACCCAATTGACTTCATGGCCCCTAATGACCCATTGGCCCCTAATGACCCTAATGACCCATCGGTCCCGGTCCATTTGGCGGCTTCGCGGCAGCCGAAGAGCGTTTCGACGTGTCGGAACTGCTGGTCGGCGTGGCGGATCAGTCCCTTCACCAGCGGATGGTTCGCGTACACCGCGAACTCCAGCGGGCGCTTCGCCCTGCTCCACAGCACCGGGACCATGGAGCGCTCCACCCGCGGGAGCCTGCCATGATCGCCCGCCAGAATCCCCGCGAACTCATCAACAGTGTTCATTCTACCGCTCATTCTCGACCCAATTTCTCACAAAGCCCGCGCTCTCACCGCCTCCAAGGGCAGTTTCACGAGCTCTCCCGCGGCAATGAACGCGTCGGCGAGCGAGGCGCAGCGCTGGCTCTGCACGTTCCAGAGAAGAGCGACGTGCTCGTGGTTCGGGTGCGCGGCGCTGAGCTGCGTCGCCGCCCAGCGCTGCAGTTCCGCTTGCCAGCCGCGCTGCGTGGCTCGTCTGCACGGAACCGCGGGAATGCACCGCCTACTGCGTGTTGTCGGCGATGCAGCCCACGTTGACGAGGTGACTCACGAACCGGCTCTCTTCCAGATAGGCATGCATGATGCGGATGCAATCCGACGAGGTGGGCCCAAATTCGTAGAGATTCGGCGTCTGCGACAGAAATTCGCCGGTGGTTTTATTGACCCCACCGTGGGCGTAATAGGGGCCATATGGATCCGATTTATCGAAATAGGGACTATTCACGGACATATGGTACATTATGACCAGCTCCAATCCGGCCTTCCGCAGAATCGATAGAAACCCGCGGGGATAGGAGGCATCGCCCATGATGATCCCGGTGGTGACGGTGACGTTGAATACGGAGAGGATCCATCGCTTCCCCGCGGTGAGGAGGTCAATGAGGTCGTTTTCTTCGAGGAGGGCGATGTTGGCGGCAGTCCACATGCCCGCGTTGAACTGGACTTGGCCGTTCTGGAGGAGGGAGCGAAAGCGGGCGTGGGAAGGAGGATCGGTGTGGTGCCACCAGAATTGGAAGGAGGGGAGATCGATGATGCTGGGAGTGATGATGAGAGAGAAGGGAAGGACGTGATGCGGTAGGAGGGGTGGGAGGAGAGGAGTTGGAAGAGAGAGGAATAAAGGGGAAAGGATTCCTAGAATGAATGAGAGAGGAAGAGAAAGGGAGAGTACGTCGAACACTTTGGGGAGGGATAATTCGCGGTAAGACACATCGAAATAGGGAATAATCGAGATTGTTCGCTTCTTTACAAAACTTTCTGGAGAGAATAAAGAATAAAGTGAAACCATACCCGAAGAAGCCGCTCTCGGAATGGATGGAGAGATCGATTCGGGAATTCCATGTTCACAAAAGCCGTTGGGATCATCCGTTGCCCTTTCCTCTACGAATGAACAATACACTAACTGAAAACACCGTTTACGGACTCTAAAGACTCTAGTGAATTAAAGGCCGCGTTCTGGGATGAATAAATAGACTGCTCGGGAGGAACGATCACAACATGATGAAATATCGGTGTAGAATTCTAAATATTTAAAAAGGGATACCCACAACTTACGTGGGACTTAGTTTCAAAGAACATCAAATCAAGAATCGTCAAGAGGATTGCGAATACCGCAATTAGCAGATGATACAGAGTCCTTCCATTGCACAAAGCCAACATGAATAAAAACAACCAAAACGAAGACTTTGTGGGAAAAAACTATAATGACATGATAACAAATGATCACTTTACCCTTTAGCTTAACTTACAATCTTTTTATTTGGCAATGCTCTCATTGGGAGTACAGGAACGCTCATGTCTCCTATATACGTTGGTTGTATTAATTATTGGTGTATCTTATACTATCTGGGTAGTGAATAGTTCTGCCCCACTTCATCGTTCTGTACTTTCAATCCAGATGACTCATGCTTAGAGTGGCCTTTATGAGTTTATTAAGAACGAATATCCGAGTGATCACTCTCTGCGACCTGGTGCGAATTGGATGGGCCTTTCCACATCTGAAGGAGGGTATCAGCTATCTTCTTCCGTCGTTCAGTCTACTACTACTACTATCTCGAGGACATCCGACGCATCAGGAGCTTTAAGTGTAAAAGAGAGCCATTATTTTAATGACCCAAATTTGAATGCCAATACCATGCAAAACGAACTCAGTGGCTATAATAGTATTAATCAACAAACCATCTTTAACAAACCCAACAGCGACAGAACTACGAACACTGCCAGTAGTTCAAGTCATTTTTCAAGTTCAAGTTCAAGTTCAAGTTCAAGTTCAAGTTCGTCCAGTGCTGCGTCCACTCATGGAAGTAGCGCGGAGACAACTCATAGCGGCAATTCCCCTCTTGAACTTCCTCAAAAGGGTTCCTCGTCCACCAAGCTCAGCGTGTTTCTTCCGATCAAATTGTACCGCTACACACGTTTCTACAAGCCGTATTCGACGCAGCCGCTCTCCATCACGGCGCCCACGACCAAGTGGAAGGTGGGTTCCAACACGTTAAAGAAATACATCACGAACGTGTATCTCCCATTCCTCACGAGCCAATCCGCGTCCGAAAACCCCGTCGTGTATCTGAAGGTCGACGAGATCGGACTGGGCGGCCAAATGCTGGGCTTCTGCGACACTCTTTTGCTTTGTCTTCTAACGAATCGTGTTTTCAAATGTTTGTTGTCTGTGTGGACTGCTCATTTTCGTAGTCTACACGCCCACGATCAAACCTCACTACTACCTTTTTCCTCTTTTTAACATCACCTACCCCGTTCCTTTAAAGAAAGACACTGGTTTTCTTTCCATTTCCTTCTCGCTCACTTCTAGAGCGCGAACACATCATTCTCAACTATGCGAAGCAGCTTCGGCCTCGCTTCCCTTCCTCCATCCACATCACTCAATCCACTCCCGTCCCTGGCGTCACCGCCAGCGGCGACTTCAACTCTCTTTACCAAGGCGCCACTTCTCTTTCTGCAGCCATTCCTTTCTCCTCCACCCTTCTTTCCCTTCCTTCTTTCGCCAAACCCATCGCCAAAGTCTTCGGCACCGCCACCAAACCCACAGCGCAGGACTGGTACGCCAGCTGCCTCCCCAGCATGTTCCAGCCCTCCTCCTATCTCAAACGCATCGCTGCGCCGCTCAGCGCGCTGCTCTCCAAAGCCACATCCGTCGGCGTTCACATCCGAACCCAGCCTTCCTTCGCCGATTCCGCCGCCAAAACGCACGAGCGCGGGACCGGCGATGTCGTCACGCAGCAGAGCGTCGAGAAGATGCTCCCCAAGTTGAAGGAGCTCATGGGAGACCGCGGGAATTTGATGTTTTTGGCGGGGGATTCGGAGGAATTTGATTCGCTGATGGAGAGAGAGTTTCCGGGACGCGTGCTGCGGGTTCAGAAATTGGAGCTGCAGAATGTGGGGCGGAATCCGAGCGAGTCGGCGCTGATGCGCGCAGTGATGGAGCTGCATCTGTTGAGTTTGTGCAATCACTTGGTGGTGACTCCGAATAGTCGGTTTAGCACAGTAGCTGTGGGTTTGAACACGAACTGCCGTTCTGTTGAATATTTTTCTTGAAGTTTTGTTTGTTAACCAGAGCAATTTGACCAAGCGAAAAATTCAGATGCCTATTTTTGGATGCTTTTCACTATAAATATATAAACTCTTTTACATAGTTTGACTCAGGATGGGGAGTGTGACTGCTCAGACACAGAATCTTGTCAATTACATGGTGCTTTTATTATCCTTTTTGTTGATGCTTGTAATCGTCATGGATTACAAAGCCGGTATGTTTAGTAATTCTGATGGCATCGTGGGTTTTTTTCCGCACTTCTAATGTGTAGAAATATGGACATAACTATATAGTTGAAAAGGGTGATCTAGAAGCGGGTATGGAATCGGTCGAGCGATGCTAACTGTGTAGAGAGGTTTGCATATGGTAATTCTGCTTCTCTGAATGCCAATTTTGGTGACTCACAAGTTTGAATTGTGTGATATGCCTTAGTTTTAGGGCATGCAAGACTCCACGTTTGTGCAGTCCGTTAAGAGTTCGAAGGCCAAAACGACTGCTGCGAAGCCGCAGGCCAAGCCGAAGCCAAAACCGAAGCCAAAGCCAAAGGCCGAGGTGGTAAGCTCCTCGTTCAATCCAGATGATGTGATATTTCCTGCAAAATGTCGCGAATCGAGCGCAGGCATCTACAGTGAGTTATACCAGCCCAAATCGCCAGTTTTGCGTTCTGCATACGTTGCAAAGACCTGGGAAGGGAGCGGGATTTTTTTTACGAATTACATGAATCGTAACTATCTCCCCCGCATCCAGCGACACTCCTCCGAGATCCGCCCGTTCGTCTACCTCAGCCGTTCGGGCCAGTCCGTCCTCACGCAGATGAAGGGCGCGTGCGACGTGCTTCTTCTCTCCATTCTCAACAACCGTCCCTTCCAATGTTTTTTTCTTTTTTTCATTCATTTACACCCAGACTACGCCAATCTTCTCCCGCCCCATTTCTTCGCCTCTCCGCTACCCAACATCATCTACCCGCTCCCAGCTCCGGATTCTGGTATTCCAGAAATCGCCCTTCTTTCTAGAATGCGGTCGACTGCAGCTCTCCGCGTTCCGCAAAGTCCCGTCCATCGCCGACTACGTCGATTTGTCGCGTTCCTCCAAGGGCATCTCCGACGGCAACGAGTTCGCCAAGTTCCACACGGGAACCGTGGGAATCGCATCGAATGGGGACGTTTTTTCGCGGTTTTTCGCGAATCATTTTTATCTGAACCGGATGAAGGACATGGTGAAATCATTAAAGACGTCGTCGTTCGTGCGGATGCAGACGAACTGGTATTCGATGGCTATGCCGAATCTGTTCGCGCCGAGCGAGTATATGCGAGCTGAGATGAAGCCGATGATGATGATGATGCAGGAGAATCGGATGATCGGGGTTTGTTTTGAATTGGAGGCGCTGATGAAACGGATGACGCGGGAAGAAGCGATGAAACGACTGATGGGGCGATTTGATGTGATCAGAGAATTGTCGAATCGGGAAGACGCGAAGGTGTTTTTGGTGACGGACAGCGAAGAAGCGGAGAAGGAGATCGTGAAGGAGTTCGGAGAGAAGGTAGTGAAGTTTGAAGGGGAGAAATGGAAGATGAATGAAGAGGTCAGCGAGAAGAAGCTGAAGAATTTATTTAGGGAGGTTATGGTGCTGGGGAAGATTGTGAGGCTTGTGCTGACGCGGAATGGAGAGTTGGGAACATTGGCGTTACATTTGCATACTATTAGTCCGAGAGTTTATTACTTCTAAGATGAAGTTTTCTTTGGGGTGTTTGTTTGAGAGACGTGGATTGAAGGAGGAAACGGAGGGAGAAGATGGAATAAGGATTTGTATTATTGATTTGTGTGCAAGTGTCAATAAATGGACGAAGAGAAGGATAATACTTGAGATAAAGCGTAGGATTGGGTGTGTTGTGAGAAGGATTCAAGATGATAAAAAACGTATTTCATTGCATGGATTTATCACTTGCCAATTATTCTTTACCATTCAAGTGATTCCCTCTTTTCTCTTAAAAGCTCATATTTTATTACAACATAGAAGAATCCAAATGATAACAATACCAAATCAATTCCTTCTGTTGTAGGGGGTGTAGCTCAGATGGTAGAGCGCTCGCTTAGCATGCGAGAGGTAAGGGGATCGATGCCCCTCTCCTCCATTTTTCTTTTCAATTCGATTCAAGCAAGTGTTTCTTACAAGGATTATTATTACTACTGTTGATTGTAATTTGTGTATTGTTCTATACTATTTTTGATTTTTAAATAGAAGTACTGCCTACACTCACGTTTTGGTTGAATGAAGGAAATGCAAATCAGTCTGACAGTTCTTGGAGGAGGGCAAAGTATAGGGAAGAGCTGTTTTCTACTTTCCGTCGGAGATCAGCACGTCCTTCTCGACTGCGGCTCCTTTGTCGGAAAAGATACCAAAAAGGCTCTGCCTGATTTTTCAAAGCTTCCCAAATCAATGACTGTTAACGATATCACTGCTGTTCTCATTTCTCACTTTCATATGGATCACATCGGCGGTCTCCTGTATCTCACGGAACAATTGAAATACAAGGGCGATATCTACGCATCGAGCCCAACACGTGCGGTGCTCCCCTTGCTTCTCCGCAACAATCGGTGAAGATGTTTTCATCACCTGACGCATAGCGTGCTTCTGACCAACCAAGCCCAAGTCCAATCCACAGTCACCATGGAGACCTTCGCGAAGCTGACCAAACACATCCGCGAAGTGACGGTCAACGAGTCAATCCAATTGAATCCGAACCTTCGAATCACCGCTCACATCGCTGGCCATGTTTTAGGCGCCGTTATGTGGGAGATCGAAGCCTACGGCCGCTCCATCCTCTACACCGGCGACTTCTCCGACGAGCCTGGTGGTTTTATCCCGTCCTATCAGCTGCCAGCACGGTTTCTCCGTCCCGGGAATTTGGATATGTTAATCATGGAATGCACGTACGGTAATACCGAGTTCAAAAGCTACGAAGACCGCAAGAACACTTTGCTCGACAGCGTTCTGAGCACAATCCAGAACCGCGGGAAAGTGCTGATCCCGTGCTACGGCATCGGCCACACCCAGGAACTCCTCGCGATGTTTCTCGATTTATGGAACTCCAAAAATCTGACCGTTCGCTTCCTCTGGACGCTTGACTTATAGACGCCGATTTACTTCAGCAGCCAGGACACCAAGAGCACGCTGCCTCTCTTTTCGTACTATTCTTCCTGGACTTCTCATCCGCTTTCTCTCCAATCCGATCGAATTCAGCCCTTTCGAATGGAATTCGCGGCCTCCGAGGAGCCGTTTCTCCTCTTCGCCACTCATCCCACCATGACCTCGGGCGTTTCAAAAGCCGTGTTTCCCTCGATTGCCGGAAATCCAAAAAACATGGTGATTTTTTTAGGACAAAATTCGCCCGATACCATCGCCGGACAGATCATGAATAGTCCCGCGGTGACTTTGGATGGCAAAAATATCCCTGTTTTATGTCAACGAAAAATAGTGCCTTTTTCTGCACATCCAGATCGAAAGGCGAATTGCCGGCTGATTGAGCGAACGGGCGCGTCGTGCGTTGTTTTGATTCACGGGGATAAGGCGAATTGTGTCGGCCTGTCGAAATACTATTCCAAGATGCACAAAAATGGGCCGATTTTTATGATTCCAGAAAATGGAAAAGTGGTAACTTTTGAATGCAGAAAAAAGCGACTTTTTATGGACTGGAGGGAGGAGTTTCAAGCCAAACGAGGGAAAGAAACGCCCGCGTTGTTCCGCGGGGATACAATGGAAATACAGAAATCGGGGAGATTTTTGGAAGTGGTGAATTCCGCGGTTATTCCAATATCGGAGGAAGAGTGGAAGTCAGTTTCCCGCGATAATTTGGTTGAGTCAGAATACGTGGATAACCACGGGGTTCGCATTTGGTGGACAGAAAAGACGAAGGATCGGGCGTTTCATTACATACAGCGATTAGAGTCGTTGAATAAAAAGAAGAAAAGTGAATGAATGAATGAATGAATGAATGATTTGATTATTTTGATGGCTAATCGATTTGGAAATAAGGGATTTTCTTCTACACTTTTATGGAAGAAACACGAGAGTGAATATGGAATTGAATTGGGGTGGAAATTTGTCTTGTTACTAGTTATGATGATTGAATGTATTATCCATATTAATGCTTTTGTTTAATAGTTTGTTTGTCAATAACCAAGAAACGATAAATAGAATCTGGAATCATAATTCTATTTGTAAAAGAAATACATCCTCCACATATCGTCATCCTTCTCCAATTGTTATATTCAATATTAGAAGATTCTTGGGCATAGAGTTTGTTAGCGCCCCCAAAATCCATTCCATTATCCAAAAAAAGAGAAACGATAAACAATGCATTGGTAACGAAAAAAGGTAAGTAAAGTGTCTTGAATGTAGCGAGCGAATGAAAGTGAGAGAAAAAGTGAGTGAGGGAATGGTTTGGTTTAATAATAATAACAATGGATGAATAGATGTGTGGAGTGGAATGGAATGAAGTGGAGTGCGAGGAATAGAATAAAATAAAATAGTAAAAGAACAGCATCGAGACTTCTCAGCGAGTCACCCACACTGGTACTAACTCGACTCGTGATGACTTAGCTTCCTAGATCGGACGGGTTAGGGCGCTTTCCATCAGATATGGCCGTTCTCATTTTATTATTATTCAATTGCCTATTTAAACATCACATTCTTATCATCATTCACTCACACTCCATTTTAATACTACCCATTTCTTTTCTTATCATTCCTCTTTTTCTTTTATTAACAAATCAATTCAATGAATGAGTGAATGAATGAGTGAGTGAATGAACGAATGAGTGAATAGTCTGTCAGTATTATTTGGATGTTGATTGTGTGTCAATTATGTTGGTTTATTAAGGGTGGTTTGTGGTTCGAGTTATTTCTCAGATTTCGTCAGTTGCGAGACTACAGCTCGAAGTTGACTTTAATTATTTGTTTAGTTTTTATCGCTGTTGCTGACCTTAGAGAACTAGTATTTTTGTTCATTATTGGAAATGTGGTGTGAAATGTTGACTATATTACATTAAGCTTACCTTAGCTGTTTATGGTAAGGTGAGGTAAACCATGTACTATTGCATGCTCATCCAAGGTTTATTTAGTAACGGTAAGTACTCGTGGATCAACCCTTACAAATATCGGAACCCCTTCATCACTTTCATGATTGTATTGTTCTGACCAAAGGAAAGACAACTCGTTTTTACATGTCAGACAAACGATAATGCACGATTTTTAGTGTATGCACATTGTCGTCTAAGATTCATCTTTCGTTACCTGTGCACGTTTTGAGTGTTTCGGTAAGCTCCATGATGGTAATTGTGAATGCTTGGTTGTTGATGGGTTTGAATGTACCTTCGCTCACTGCATCTCCCTTCCTCTCTGCCTCAAGTACACGCTTGTACAAATCGGTGTTCTTCACACGCATTTTCTCACCATCGATTGCCACATTACATGGAACACCATTTACTACATTGTGTATCACTTGCTTCTAATCAATCAGACAACAATATCTTCGGTCTGAGTCCCACAAACTCTGTGATACGATGGACATTGTGTTCATCCTTCAAAATGGGTTCCTCTAGTTTCTTGTTGAAGTTGAGGAATGATGACAATGAAGGGAACTTTCTCTTGCTCACTTTCTGATCGTAATAGTCACAAGTTGTCCACAGAAATAGCTCGTATTATCCAACTCCGAGAAATCGAACGACTTGTACATGTCACACATCTTGTGAATGTTGTTCCCTTGATCGTTTAACTGCACGATGAACGAGCCTGTGTTCTGACCCAACAGCTTCATGTTATCAAATGTGTTCTTGAACACATTGTAGTAGAAATCCTAGATGATGTGTTTGGACATGTCGAGAATGGCAAATCTGATGAAGAATGGTTTCACCACTTTCCTCACCTCTGTATTCAGTTTGATACCATCCAGATACTCGGAATTTATGGTAGTCCCTGCGATCATATCGTACCCATGTTTTTAAATGGTAGCTTCGCATTCATTCCCTGTGGTGGTGAACTTCACTTTCATTCGATTCAGCCCAGTTTCCACGAATTTGCCATTTGTCGAGTTTGCCAACAGCTTGTACAGGTTCTCCTCCACAGTGGTATTGAACTTTGCTCGATTCTCACTCAACAACTTCACATATTCGAATATGAATGGAGCTTATTTGAGGAGTGTTTATATAAAACCCTATTAACGAAATCAACCAAAGTAAATTGAATCAATCAATGTCGTACATATTCAGCAGCAATCCAAACAATTACACGTTCAAAAAACTCGATAACATACTCATCAATATGCCAGAGAACGATGGCAAGCATGTCCTCGTGTGTGAGACAGTGGATGACGTTCATCAATATTCATGGATAGCACCTTCTGAGTGTTTTGTGAAAGTCAATAATGCCACACTGTTTGAACATACACCCACATCCACTCAACCATTCAATAATCAATGCCAATTCCAATTATCTTCTGCTTTATATCTGGCGATCACATCGATTCCATGTTACAATGAGAATGATGCCCTATTCAAACATTGTGATTCCATCGAATCGATTGTGGATAAGGGATACAAGGTGAGTGTTTCAATGGATGGTGTGTCATTGATCGATGTGCCATTCATCGATACACTCAACAATCTTGTGCCCCTTTCCCATACCAAACTGATAAATGGAATAGAATAGACAAGTGAGAGTCATACGATCTCTGCATTCACGAATATCCCTTTTCTTGTATGTCTGGTAGGTGTGAAGAGCATCACGATCGTTTTCGAACACTTGAGCGAGGTTGTTGTTTCTTCTTCTGGGTGCTCATAATGGGTCGATGTGATCTTGCTGCCTCTCTCAATGCATTGGGTTCTTTACCACTCTTGGATCGAGTAATGGGTGGTGCTGGTTGTGGTTTCCATTTGCTTGCCAGCAGTTCTCAATGATAACACTTCTATGTGCTATCGCTTTCCACATTCTTCACTTCGTACATCAATGGCATGATGTGATCGTCAATGTCAACAACTTCAACCAAGTCCTGAGACCATTTGCTCGTCAATGATCGCTTTTCCAGAATGCGAGGTCTTCGTGTCACTCCAACATAATCACCAACATCGAATTGAGGTGTTGTCCTTTGCTGTCATGTTGGATGGTTCTGTTTTCTCTGTGTACAAGATATCGTTGTTGTTCCAAATGTCATTGGGTGTATATCCGATGTCTCTGTTCTTCCTTCCATTATGTCTATGAACTGCACCATCGATCAAGTCAAACCATACACCTTTCCATTGATTGATTGAATGGAACCATGATGTGTTCCTTGATATCTCGAATTGCTCGTTCAGCTAGTACTGCCTTATTCGCTGAATCCATGTGATACATGATGATGTCATACTTGTTCAAGATGTTGGTACGAAAGATCGCATTGGTGAACTCGGTACCTCGATCCGAGCAAATATGCTTTGGTGATTCACCATATGTTTGAATGATATCCTTCATCGCATGAGTGACTTCTGTGGCACTCTTGCTTTTCAGTTTCCGAGTCATCAGGTATTTCGAATATCCATCAATGCATACAAGGACATATTTGTATCCACGATTCTTATAGAATCCGGTACTCTTATGTCTTCTCAATACTTCCTGTATCCATTTGTGTAGTTTGGAAGAGAAATCGATAAGATCGATGAAGTATATGTTTCTCTTGAATCCGTTGATGATCATTCGAGTGGCGCCTCTTCGTTTTGCTGGCTTCCGTAGTTCCTTGATCTCATTCATGCTCCCCACACACCTCGATAAATGGATCGCATTATTCAAGGAATGAATAAGTTGTGTCAGAGGAAGAATCACAAACTGGTTATAGACTCGAAATGCATTTTCTCCACTATACACTATTTCAAATAGAGAATCACTCGCATTCAACATTGCAATGATCGTTTCGATATCATATATACCTCGTAGAATCGATAGAGTATGGAGATTGGATCCAAATACACTCATAACTTGTATCCATTGTGGAAATTGAGAATGTAGTATTATTAATCATGGTGTTCAGAATGGCAATGATTTCAGTCAGTGTATAATAACCAGGCGAGATCGTTACCTCTTCACCATTGGTGTTTGTCACCACATTGGTTGAGTCCACATTATTGAACATGACTTGATTGGATTTGGATAGAACAGTCATGGAAGTGATAAATGGATTTCTGAACTTGTAAGGATTGATTGAATCGAATGTACCATTGATAGGTGAATCTTGTATGAGAATGGAATAATGCATGTTCTCTCTTTACCAAAGACACTTATGACTTGCATAGACAACAATAGATGGATTTGTGATGACAATGTACACACATTGGCTTTCGGTCATTACAAATAAGCAAACAAACATGTAAATACAAGAGAAATAACAATAATTCACCTTAGCTAGGTACGTCTACTGCTTTCTTGCACCCAAGTATAACTGATGCAACAAACACAAAAATAGAAACGAGCACTAGGTTGATAGTAGAAAGGAATTGGTCTAAGAAAGCACAAAACCTGGTTCCTGACCGATGATTGTCGACCAGACAGCCTAGGAACGATAGTCGAGGACTCAAAATCGGTTGGTCGATTACAACAATAGACAAAGGATCGCAATTGTGGTCATTGTGCAAAATAGCATATAAAGAAAACTGCCACCAGGTTTCACACAAATAGTGTCATTTTCTTACTACTATTGTTCCATATTAATGAGGTTTAAGATGGCTACAAGTTGATAAATCATATTATTATTGGTCGAAAGAGCTTTTGTTATTGTGAAAATAGGATCATTTTTGTTATATGACATGTATTAAATATGGATGAACTCATCAATAGAAATAGGAATGATGAATCAGTCATTTATCACAAGTATTGTTGTATTTCCTTTGATATATGACTAATCTGTATAATATAGTCTCGAGATACTTTGAATCAATACTTGGATAATGAAT